CCCAGGTGTGCCCGGTGCCCTCACCTCCGTGCCGGGGCCGTGCCAGCAGCACGCGCCCGTAGGAGCCGCTGCCCAGCTCTCCCAGTACGTCCCAGTCCCGCTCCAGCGCCCGCCGGGGCAGCGCCCGGTCTGCGCGAGCCATCAGCGCCTGCGGGGACCAGTGCGGACCAGTACGGACCAGTACGGACCAGTACGGACCAGTACGGACCAGTGCGGACCAGTGCGGACCGGTATGGACCAGTATAAACCAGTATGGACCAGTGCGGACCAGTACGGACCAGTGCGGACCAGTGCGGACCAGTACGGACCGGTATGGACCAGTATAGACCAGTATAGGCCAGTATAGACCAGAACGGACCAGCACAAACCGGTATGGACCAGTATGGACCAGTACAGACCAGTACAGACCAGTGCGGACTAGTACGGACCAGTACGGACCAGTGCGGACCAGTACGGATCAGTACGGACCAGTACGGACCAGTACGGACCAGTATGGAACCAGTATGGAACCAGTATGGACCAGTACGGACCAGTACAGACCAGTATAAACCAGTACAAACCTGCAGGAGGCGCTCCTGAGCCTGCGCCACCGACTCCTCATCATCATCATCGTCACCTTCATCATCAGTGGCCTCCAAGGGGACATCCATGATCTGCCACCAGTGTAAACCAGTATGAACCAGTATAAACCAGTACAGACCAGTACAAACCAGTACAGACCAGTACAGACCAGTACAGACCTGCAGGAGGCGCTCCTGAGCCTGCACCAATGACTGCTCATCATCATCATTATCATCACCTTCATCATCATCATCACCTTCATCATCACCATCAGCGGCCTCTGAGGGAGCATCCATGGCCTGCAGACCAGTATAAACCAGTACAGACCAGTACAAACCAGTACAGACCAGTACAAATCAGTACAGACCAGTATAAACCAGTACAGACCAGTACAAACCAGTACAGACCAGTATAAACCAGTACAGACCTGCCGGAGGTGCTGCTGAGCGTGCGTCACAGATTCCTCCTCCTCATCATCATCATCGTCACCTTCATCATCATCAGCAGCAGCCTCTGAGGGGGCATCCATGGCCTGCAGACCAGTATGGACCAGTATGAACCAGTATGGATCAGCACAAACCAGTACAGACCAGTATAAACCAGTACAGACCTGCAGGAGGTACTGCTGAGCGTGTGTCACAGATTCCTCATCATCATCATCATCATCGTCACCTTCATCATCAGCGGCCTCTGAGGGGGCATCCATGGCCTGCAGACCAGTATGGACCAGTATGAACCAGTATGGATCAGCACAAACCAGTACAGACCAGTATAAACCAGTACAGACCTGCAGGAGGCGCTGCTGAGCCTGCGGCACCGACTCCTCATCATCATCATCGTCACCTTCATCCGTCATCAGCGGCCTCTGAGGGGGCATCCATGGCCTGCAGACCAGTATAAACCAGTATGAACCAGTATGGACCAGTACAGACCAATACAGACCAATACAAACCAGTACAAACCAGTATAAACCAGTACAGACCTGCAGGAGGCGCTGCTGAGCCTGCGGCACCGACTCCTCATCATCATCATCGTCACCTTCATCCGAGGGGGCGTCCATGGCCTGGACCAGTATGGACCAGTATGGACCAGTACAGACCAGTACAGACCAGTACAGACCAGTATAACACAGTGTAAACCAGTAGGGACCAGTATGGACCAGTGTGAACCAGTGTAACCCAGGAGAAACCAGTACAAACTGGTATGGACCAGTATAACCCGGTACAGACCAGTATAACCAGTACAGAC